AGATCCGGTTGATAGGAATTCCGTTTCAGGTTTTTGTATCTTCTTTGGCTCATCACTTATTTCCTGGAAGACTAAGCAGCAAGGAACCGTCTCATGCTCCTTAGCTGAAGCAGAATATAGAAGCATGAGCTTTACAACCCGGGAAATGATGTTGATGAGAATCATATAGCCTTCCATGATGGTTCTCCTAGTGAGGGGAATGAGCTAGTCCTTCATTCTAGTTTTGGGATGCCAAGTTTACTTTGAAGGCCAATCAAGGAAGAAAGGATGGATCGTGATTACCTATGTGATAGGGAGTTGGTTCAAGAGAGCTATGATGAAGATGATGAGAATGTCATTAACTTTGGGGTTCAAACCAAAGGAGATGATTTACTCATGGAAATAAGTGCTCAAGAGTATCAAGGGAGTTTGACTCTAGATGCTCCTTGAAGATCATTGATCAAGCTAGAGAGAAGAATCATTTAGGTTCTTGAATGGACGGCCTATTTGATCAAAGTGTTCAAGATTGAGTCCATTGCTACACAATTGGATAGGGTGCAAACTATCTCAATTGTTTCAAGTGTTTTTCCAATCTTTTGGAGTCAATAAAGAGAATTCTACAAGTTTTGGAGTAAATTCGAGTTTTCTACAACTTAAGAGGCGCAAGACCAATGTTCCACTTTTTGGAAAGGCGTTCAAGACATTTTACTTCAATATTTAGAGCTGATTTTCGGATTTAGAGTATTATCTAGTCTAGGAGTTTAAGTTTTTGAGTTTATCTAGTTAAGATAAGCTATGTGGGCTGAATTAAGCTAGAGTATTTTGTTTAGGAGTCTTAGATTCCTTCTAAGTATTATCCTATTTGAGAATAAGTCATTTAGATAAGGTTTCCTAGATTTTTAGATAGAGTCAAAGAGATCAAATACTCTTCTAACTCTACTTCTGCATGAGATAAGATTAGAGAGTCCTAGTTGGTTTTCTTTTTGATGCTTATGGCCGAAATTTCTAGCCTATAAATAGGGGGGGAGGGGTATGGCCGAAAGTTAAAGCACCCATGTGTGGTCATTTTGAGTCTTCTCTAATGAGAGTTTATCCTGGGAGGAATTTTTGTTAAATGGTGTGTCCATTTTCATTTGTCAAGTATGATTTAACCAAGAGGGTTTTCATCTTGTCTTGGATCTTTTGATCTTGCAGAATCCGTTTTTTTTCAAGTATGCTTCTTGATAGAATTGTTTTAAAACTAAACTTCTTATTTTCATACTACTTCTAGTAGTTCGAGAGTTGAGCCTTTCTTTTGGCTATGGTTTTCAAAATTCATGATGCGTATGTTCATGAGTTCCTTTGTAGGGTTTGTCCTACTTTTGTTGGATGAGTTTTGCTTTGGCATAAGAATTTTGAGATAGTGTATGTGTTGCATATCTTTGTTGGTTATGGAGATTACTAAGCAATAGTATTCCTTCATAGTTGAGCATTATTTGCTCCTACCTTTCTTGAGTCTCTTGAATGATGACTGATCGAGTATATTGAATGGTGTCCTTACTATTCTTAGTGTGGGTTGTTGTTTAATTCAAATCTTTCATAGATTATATGTTCTTTGTTTGGTTTGAGTTAAAGAGATAAAAATCGTTAGATAAACGATCGTCTTACTATGAATCTTCCACACTCTTTTGAGTTTCACGGGATAGATAAATTATCTTCGTACTTTCTTGTTTGATAGTTGCATTAACGAAATTTGCTTCATCTACGAGATTGCTATCAGATGTGGCTTTCTTATTTTCTCCATGATCTTCATGTGCCATTGAAGCTACCAATTCCACTCTGGTGGATAATCAGGCAGCCATATATATATAACTGAGAACCCTGTTTTTCACAAGCAAAAAAATCATTTAGAGGTTGATTGTTATTTTGTTCGCCACTAGTTACAGCAAGGGTTCTTAGTTCCTCTCCGTGTTGCTTCTCAAGATCAAGTGGCATATGTCCTCACCAAGTCTCTGCCCTTTCCTTTGTTTAAAAAGATGTGTCCAAGCTTGGCTTGAAGAGTACTCTTCCAGCATCAGCTTGCGAGGGGAATGTAGAAGTTGAAGATCAAAATGGTTCATCACATCAGTTTGATTATCAGCCGTCTTAAAGAGTTTGAATTGTACAGTTGTTAATATATAAGGGCTTAGATGTAAATAAAAGTGTACTTGTAAATAATACGTATACATTAGTTGTTAGATGATGTGGTAGATTAGTTACATTTAGTTAGGGTTAAGGCGTGCTAAGCACGCTTAGATTAGTTGAGCTGACTAGTATATTAGTGCATATACGGTTGTACAGATTATTAATATACAATATATTCTTTAAAAGAGTAAAGTTGTTCTTTAGCTTCAATCATCAAATCAATGTTTGTAAACTCGCGATCTAGGATCGTAAAATCGTCCGATTCTACGATCCTAGGTCACTAAATTGATATTGGATCGATTAAATTCGTCTTTTGCGATAGGATCGGAACAGGATCGTACGTGATCGGACAAACTCGTAGGATCCCGTAGGATCGTTCGAGTCCAATGATTCTGCCTCCAAAAAATTTATTGGGCTTGGTTTACTCCAGTTCATGAAAAAAAAGCTTTAAAACGAAGATGAAAAAGTGATAACGTTGAAGAAATTGAGTTCTTTAGAGTTGTTTAGGAGGATTACTCCATCAGAATTGAGAAAAGGATCTCATAGTTTATATGCTCTGTTTTGTTCTCTTGCCGGAACTCTTCTGCTAACAGACTCTGATCTTAAGGGATAAAAAGAATGGTTTATTGGTCAATGACTCAATTGATGACATAAGCCTTTCTTTAGTTTATGTTTTCTGTTTGGTCCACGACATTTTTCTCTTCTTAATCTTAATCATAATTTTCAATCACTCTAAAATAATCATACACAACTTATTAAGTACTAGTAATTTGTAACTGGAACATTACTTATTCTATTGTCTGTCATATTATTGATTAAATAAAAAATTACAATTATCTCCCGTATTTTAGTTAGAAATTAGAATGAATGCATTATACAGCTTTTAAAAAATCTAAAAATTATTATTAGCAATTGTTTATAATGTATAAATTTTTTAAAAAATTTACGATCCTACTTTTTCGATCCTACCGATCCTATTTACGATCCGATCCTATGATCCCATTTCGATCCTGCATAGAATCACGATCTTGCAAACATTGCATCAAATCCTAGATCGATAATCCAAACTTGTGATTCCAAATCTTGTATTCAAGAAGAATCCAGATCGAGATCCAAACACGCCTCCATGATCAAAGTCATCTCATAGCTCCAGTTGAAACTCGGTAACATTATAGTCTGCCATATTCAACTCTGAACTCTGAAAGAAGCTTCAATTTCCAAGTATAACCCAGGAGCTACTTTCTTTTCTGTTGTCCATCGTGGCAACGCTCAGGCCTTGTAACCATCATTCATTTTCTGATTTCAGTATTCATTACTGTATTGAGTGTTCCATTTGATCAGCAAATCAACCAAACGCTGACTATTTTTTGTTGAGTGAATATTGTTTTTGAAAAAAGGCCAAAGCAAACATGTTATTGAGACCAAAAAGGATTTCAAATATCCGAGTAATGAATCAAGCTTCCCCATTGCAATATATATGAGCTATATCCATTTTTTTTTTTTTTTTTTGGAATGCATTGCATGCAGGTTTATTACCATATTTCTCATTGGTAAAAATTGCATCATGCTTAAATTGGGGCTGCAATTGGCATATAGTTTATAAAAACGGTTTCTATCTTCTGCTTGTTCCAACATCTAAATTTTTTTTAAAAAAAAATCATTTAAGGCACTGATTGAAGAGAAACAGAAAATCTGTAGTCTTGCTTCGACCACGTTGAGCTAAATGAGTTGGTGAGTTAATCAAACATAGAATGAGAACTAGGAGATCCAGGATGTTACTATGTTAGTAAACGGATTTGATGTCGGTATCACCAAGAAGTGTATTCTTTATGTGAGAGCAATACTCACTTCATTTCATGATCATAGTTATTTTGGATACTCTCTTTCGATACAAAATTATTTCTCTAAACAAAAAAGTTGGTGATCAAACATGCTAGTGGTAGTGCCGAGGGAGATGACAAGAATATATTGGTCGGCGTCACTGACTAATTAAATTGGTAGTTTTACAGTTTTAGTTTGATGTAAAAAAAGAAAGGAAAAAAATTCTTCATTGTGCAAAGCAATAGTAGATAATGATAAATAATCGATAGTGTAATGGTTTTAAAGGTGACCAAAGCCCTAGTAGCAGACGAGAGGCAGTAAGACTAGCAACCGCAACGGGCATTAGTCAGTTCACTCCGATAGAAGCATCATCAATAATTCACCGCTTAAATTCTTATGATACCGACTTATTAGAATGGGGACTCGTAATTGCTGATATCAAAGGTAGTTTTCTCATGCCTTAGAACAATTTGCAAAATTTTTTTTGGGATACTATTCCCGACTTTGTACCTCCTTCCGTGTTGGACGGATTCCCAACAAATTAATGAGATTCACTTCTCAAAAAAATAAAATAAAAATAAAAATGGTTGATGTAGGTGAGTTTAATTATTTGTAATATTTTCTAAAAAAGTAGTAGTTTGAAATAGATAAATATCTAAACTTTAGCAACCATATTTGTGATCCATGTGAATCATTGTAGGCTAATGTACGTTCAAAGTTCTGTGGTAGCAATTGTGATTTTCTTCAAACAAAGGGATCAAAACGACAATGTAAAATAACAAGCAGTTGAACTTCAAACCAAACCAAGCAAAAAAGTTTCTACTCTATTGATGATCATTACTGTTATAACCAAAAATAAAAATAAAAAAATTACAGCTGCTTGTACTGAATCCGTCAAGAACTTGTTATTCTACATTAATTCATGGAATTACTTACACATGACTGTACCAGGATGAAGCAGGAATCATCACAATAGTTCTGATGCATTTTCCGAGATTGTAAACAAAAAAATTTCACCAGATATACAAATCTGATTTCTACAAAAGTTTGCTATTCCCTTCCATGCCTTCCTCCAATGTGGCATTCCTTTTGTAATGATTATCATCAGGTGATGTTTTATGCATCGGAGCTAGTCGCATCTGCATAAACTTCCAGTCAGTGAGATAACCAGGCTTTGAAATCGTGCTAGTTACCTCAATGTCTCCACAGAGCATTGCCACCACACGAGACATTGGAGGCCTTAGTGATGGCGAGGTTAGTGTGCACAACAGCGCCACACTGATAACCCTTTTCACTTCATTCTCGTCGAATTCAGTTAAACGTGGATCCACCAGCTCTATGTCACGCTCATTCTCATGTAAGTTCCAGGCCTTAAAATTATGAAAAAAGATAAGACAGATAATAATAACATTACAATGAAAAGACAATGATCAATTAACTAGTTGGACACGTTTAGCACAGTGCTGCTAATTCTCATTTTCTCGATGGTATTCTTCTGGGCTCAAGACGTATCAAACTTTACTTAGTTCACATGAAAAATGGGTGTTTCGGGGACAATGGTGTTATATGAGTATATATATTGAGGATTAAAAGGAAATGATTAGTACCCAATCTAGAAGATGAATCTTATCTTCATCCAGACTAGTCTCGGAGTTTGGCCTTCCACTCACAATCTCGAGAGCTACAACTCCAAATCCAAACACATCAGCCTTCTCTGTGAGGTGTCCTCTCATGGCATACTCTGGAGCAAGATACCCTCTACAGTCCCATGGAATAACAATTTGTCAGTTCGTCAATCGTCAGAGTTGAAATATGAATTAGTAATTTAGAATAATTAACCAATGAAAAGAAAATAGAGAGAATATTGTGGATGTCCAAGGATCCAAGCTTGTGAATTGTACTTACATTGTTCCAGCAACACGGGTACTAACATGTGTCATTTTGTCATCGTAAAGTTTGGCCAGGCCAAAGTCAGAAATTTTGGGGCTGAGATCCGAGTCAAGCAGGATGTTACTGGCCTTCACATCCCTATGCACTATTCGAACTCGGGATTCTTCATGAAGGTAAGCCAGACCTCTTGCGACTCCAAGGCATACATCAAACCGTCTTGACCAGTCGAGGAGTAAACTTTCGGTTCCTGCTCCATTAGAAACAAAAGTTCAATTGGTTCGTTATGTCTGCAGTCCATGTAACTAAAACAACATAATATGATAAAGGATAAGTGACATGAAAGCTCTTTCATCACTTACGAAATAACGCTTGATCGAGACTTTTGTTCTCAAGATACTCATAGACAAGCAATCTTTTGTCTCCCTTAATGCAACAACCATACAACTTCACAAGTAAGGTGCTGCACAGTTGAAATGAAACTGCCTTGCATTGATTTGAAACCACAGATAGTAGTTTAACAGCGACATCTCTCCAGTCATAAAGGTTTCCCTGTTGGATTGCCAAATTACGAATAAATGTATTTAGGCATTCATATTCATGATTACGAAATAAAAGTCATAAGTAAACTCTGAGTGATTGACTTAATCAATTCTGCACTAATAATGGAAGGTCATGAATATAAGAATAACACTCATGGATCTAAAGAAGGGTAAATGAGTGAAACTGTAAGATACAACCCCTGAAAATAAACAACATAAAAATATGTAGAAGATTTTAAGCAGAAGTTGCAGGCCCTCTCTTGGCTTCCTCAATCTCCCTTTTTTCTTTAAGATACAAATTTGTTTCTTCAAATTTGAATTTCCATTGACTTTTTTGAGAATGCAGAAAAACATGTACCTTAAAAACGGTATCAAATCCACCCTCTCCAACTTTGTTAGCTGGATTGAAGTCATTTGTCCCAGCTCTAAGTTCTGCATAACTGAATGTGTATGGTCTGGCATCCATCCCCAGGAATTCTGAAATTAGCAGCAAACATAAGGATGAAAGCTATAGTAAACAAACAAATTTGTATATGTTTTTAGTATCCAAGGTTGCTTATGGGATCATACTGTCTATCAACAACAACATGCTGAAGTCAATCTTAATCATTTAACAACCTCAAAATAGTCTTAGTCTCTTAGATGTTTCTTAATGTCAATCTGCGTAGATGAAGGGAAGGTGAAAAGTAAATACTAAAAACTGGTTATGAATTCAGATAACACAACAAATGGTACAATATTATTTCTTGCATATGCTTTTCTTAAAGAACTTGGACATCCAACTCAAAAGCCAATTGGCAATGAGCGGAGAGACCCAAGTATCTTTTATCTTCATCATGAATCTTTCATCATTGTCATGTGGGACAAAGGCTTTCAACAATTTCAATATTCAAGCACTCTGTCTTGTAACATGGCGTATTTTCAAGAAGTTTCTTTTATTACCTTCCTCAAATATTTGTTGGTTTTCTTCCCCAGATCAAAAAGCACAAAGCAAATGCGGACAGAAAGCTTATAATGATGATGGGAACAATAATACCAACAATCAAACCACTGCGATTCTTCTTCCCCGGTCGGGAGACGCGGTACCAACAGTGGGAATGAAATCTGACAAAATAGCCCATCTGTCACAGAGATGGATAAGGAACAAAGAAAACCTGTATGCATTCTGGAGGAATTCTTGTCTACCTGGGGTGGCACTAACAGCAGAAACAATAGGTCCGCATGAACCTGAACACAGCAAGTTCCCTTGCCAGCCCAAAATAGATGGATTTCAAGGTAGTTTTCAGATACAATAGCAGAAAATGTCCTTTGCACAGAAGTCAAAGAATGTCCATCTGCCTCTCTTTTTATGTCAAAATCTTTCTCCACTAGATTTCCCTGAAAAATACTGACAGTTGAAGTCATAAAAGATAAACCACACAATTCTTAAAAGTAAGGAAATCATAACCTAATTGTTTCTAGTTAGAGCAAAAGGAAGACTGCTCAAAGAAGTAACCACATGACAACAAAAACCAATATACATTTCTAAAAAATTTAGGCTTCCTTAGATTTAACATCTCAACTGTTGCTACTCACAAACCTGGATATATATGTCAAAAGCTCGTTTTCCAAGACTCCTCCAAGTAACAGTATCAAGGATATCTGGTTCAGCAAACTGGAGATTCACTGTGTAGTTACCATTTTCCATACCCAAGCCAAAGTATCTCAATGATCCAACTAACACGCGCGCATATTGGAATATCTCTGGATCCAAAGTATTTGCAATTGGAGCTGACGAAATGAAGGCATATTTTGGATTAGGGCCATCAGCCGGGAAACCAGCATTACTGACTGCCCAATTTCTTGAACTTGTAACGTAGAAAGTTGCAGGACCATTAGTTTGGTTGTCTGCTTCGTATTTAACTCCATCAGCAGAACTCAGAGCTGGACCGCCACATTTGATAGACAAATTGGAATCTGCAAGGCACAAAACAAAAATTAAAAATAAAAATGAAAATGAAAGAGTGAAAATGTTAAGTTCATACAACTGAACTGAAGTTTTTATATTAGCATTCAGGAGGTCAAAGTTGGCACAGAAACAAACTTACAGATAGGAGATCCACGATTACAAGGGAAATTCCTTTGAAGACAGTGCAATCCTGATGGAAGACTTCCGAAAGTGATGCACAATTAATAAAAAAACGGATCATACATAGTATAATTAGAGAAAAAGTACGAAATAAGTAGTTCTGCTTTCTAGCATCCCCACCTGCTATTTGAATCTGACTGGGTAAAGTTGTTAGCCACCAAATTACTGAACAAGGACAACAAATCACTTAATGGTAATGTGCAATCTAGAAATCTTGAGTTCACATCATTATACATCGAGGCACGTATATACTCACAGCTGTAAGTTTTGCTCATTGACCCAAGAAGGAAAGCTCCCAGATAATTCGTTAAACGACATGTCTCTGCAGTGCAAATAACCATTCACAAGTTAAGAACTCCTTTGTACTCCTGCCAGAAAAAGAGGATTTCTTCCAAACATGTAGTTAGTCAAAAACTGTTAAACTGAATGATCATAAGGGCATTACACCTCAAGTCTTGACTTCATTAACATTTCATTAAGGGCCTCATTGTTCGTATTAATCATTCATTTTGAAAATGGATTACTGTTCCGTCATACCTATAGGTGAGATGTTTTGAACTATCATCTAACCCATGTAAGCATCCACAGAAACACATTGGAGTATCTTTTCTAGAAAACTCAAGTCACTAAAACAAGAAGTCCTCAGCAAGTTTCTTAAGACGAAATAACTCTCAGCCGCCTCTAGACTGTACTAACTCACAAACCAAAGATGATATGATTTATAAATGAATTTACAAAATACATGCCTGCCTCGCAAGAACCGTAGTTAAAGTAGATCACATAATGGCGTTTCCATAAAAACAGTGAAATTGAGGTGACTTACAAATTCGGGAGATTTGAACTCTTTAGCTGAGGCAAGGAGCCGGTTAATTTATTATCACCTAGAAATCTGAAAAAAGGACCAAAATTTAAACTTTCAAGATAAATTATTGGCCAGGGAGGTATAATTATTTATTAGTAAGAATGAGAGATTTGATACATATGTGTGAGATTCTTAATGTTGAAAAGTGATTCAGATATGAGTCCACTGAAACTATTGAAGCTCAAATCTCTGAAAAGTTAAAAACATATTTAAGTTAAGAATAAAGAATATCAAAATAACATAGCCAAAATATGACTATGTTTTACTTTTCTAGCTTGCTCGAAAGTTACAAATTAGCCTATTTGGTTTAGGACAACTTACAGACGTTGTAGATTCTGAAGCTCGCCAATGTAAGATGGGATAGGACCAGAAACATTATTGTTTCTCAAAACCCTACCAAGAAAAGAGACATTTAAGGATACAAATATGAAAATGATGAGTAAAGAAAACAACTTTATGTTCTAAAAGTTTAACAAGTTTTTGAGCCTTTTTTTCAAGTCCTAACAATGTGTTTAGAGACTTCATATCCTGAAGAAACTCCAAAGAGCAGCTGTCATTCCCATTGGTTAGATCACTTATCCTCCTGGACATTATATGGAGGAGATAACATCAACTTCCTGACGAGGTAAAACCGAAACCAATGTTGACACATCTAAGAAGTGAAGACTCACAAGTCTTTTAAGGATGTCAAGTTTGAAAATGAAGACGGTATGATGCCGTGAAAAGAGTTGCCCTGCAACCTTCTGCAATACATAACAATCTCAGTGATCAAGGACTTTGCAACATTAATTCATCAACGGTTATAAACATTTTTTTGGTGTTGCACAATCGAGAATTACAGATTCCAGAATTGTTAAACAGCAAACAAATCTGAACTTCTGTCTTTTTATAAAAATTATAAAAAAAAATGTGGGTAAACAACCCCCCCCCTCCCCCCCTCCTTACAAGCCCAGGCGGGAATCTGAACTTCTATCTTACAAGACACAGAGCTGTGACCAATTCCCTATGAAGTCGGGTATCTGACCAGTGAGTTGAGTATCAGAGCCCCACCTGAAAGAAAGCAGAAAGATACATCCTTAGGTGATTTTGATAACAAATAGACGATGCACAAAAAGATTGGAAAGAGAAATCTTACACGATAATGAGGTTTTGTAACCCTGCAAACTTGGTGGTATGACACCACTAATCCCAGAGCTATCAAAGTAACTGCACAAGGTACAAACTTCATATAAGCATCCACTCAAGAAACACATGAAGCTTAATTCTAGTTATTTTGAATGTCAAACAATTCATCCCGGCCACATCAGAATTGATTCAATATTTATGTAGCATTACTGTGCAAACTAAATATGAGGAAAAAAAAAAAAAACAAGCAACTGATTAAAAGCTGGCTATTAGATTTCACAAGTCTCAGCCCAATTGTCCCATGCAACTTCACGTTCAGGTAAAACCATATACACAATGATTATATTTTATCATCGATCTTCTTTAAAGTAAATTGATACCGGATATCTTACAGCACCGGCAAGTCCGTTAGCAACCCAAGTTCCTTCGGTAGTTTGCCCGATAACGCATTAAACCGCAAATTCCTAGTTACAAGAAAACGATGAAATAAAATCGAATACATCAAAGACAATAACTTCCCTGAGACACATAGTTTCTAAGAAAAAACCAACTTGGACACACAAATTCTGTAACCGAGTTAGCCGGGAAATGGCTGCAGGAAGAGGACCTGTAAAGTAATTCTGTCTGAAGTCTCAGCCACAAAGAACACAGGAAGTCATAATTACAAACAAATCAAACAGGAATGCGAACTTAGGATGATTATTAACAGAGATAAAATTTGGGTCCCAATAAAATAAACTCACAAATTAGTGAGGAAAGTCAAATTCCAGAGTTCATCTGGAACTCCCAGAAGGTCCATGGCAAAAAGCCTACTGCAAGGGTGATTATATAGATGAACTGAGCAATAAAATTTGTGGCCAAAATTCAGACAAATCTACAGAACAAGGCAGGGACTTATTTTACTCACAGTGCCGTGATGTGGCAAAGAGTACCATTTTTGTCAGAGCAATCACACTTAATTCCCGGATTAAGACTTTGGAGATCCATGGAATCAATGGCTGACCCAGTGCATAATTCACCACTGACATTCCATTGAGTAGGCGCCCGAACATTCAATTTCCGAAAGATAGAGTTCACAACTCTTGCTTCAAGTTTAACAAATGAATACACGTCTTTTCTTGTGAATGTTGTATATATTGACAAAAAATATGGATCAACTTCTACCATTTGTTATTCAATCAATGAAGCTAAACAAGGCCAATAGTACCAGTTTCAGATGCAAACATCCAACCTTAAACTAAAGAAAGCCTTAGGCTGACACAAAAAGAAACCCAAAACCAAGTTCATATACATACATATCATGTACAATTGTGAAGTTTTGTATTAGCATACAGTAAGAATGAACTTCAACAGCATCCGTTTTCCGATAAATGAAAGATAAAAAGGTCAGCAAGTAGTATTGGTTTCAGTGGGCCTAAATCCAACATTAAATTGCAATCAAGAATCTAAACCTCATGCATAGACAAATCAAACACGATGACTGACTATTGGAACAAGAAAAACGAACTATCTATTTTACATCAATCGTTCATGCTGAGATAATCCTAGCAGAACAGTATTATTTATAAACTACTGCAAGTACCTTCAGAGGGATCGGTGGTTGGATTGGATTGGTTCTGACTATGGGCAATAGGTGATCTTAGAAACAAGCTAAATACAGCCAACAACAACAATGAATGAGGAGGTGTCCCCTTCCAAATCCCAGAAAAAGGACTCATCTTTTTCAACAGTGATTCAACCTAAAAGTAACAGACCCTTTCAGTGCAGCTATCACTTAAATGCAACCGTTTCCGGATTCCAAACCTCAATCTAGTGTTCCTTAACTCATAAAGTGGGAATGAGTTATTGAGAAAAATCATACAAGGTTCATTAATGTTATATAATGAATTGGACATATTGAATTTTGCCATGCATGCAAAGTCAAGTCACAAATTGAAAATTCATATGTGAACCCATGTTTTCTTGCATTGAAATAAACAAACAAACGATGATGACCTGAATTGCCAAGAGAAACTTTTTCTTTTCATTCTTCGTTAAATTGGGTTCTAGTTGCTAATCTGATTCATCTAGTATGCAGTAGTTTAAACAAGATCAATTTCTGGATGCAAAGGATAAAGCTATTAGTTGTATTATTTTCCCACTTGCCAACCTATACATCAACTGGTTAGTTTTTCAACATCTTCAAAATGGACAGGTTTCCCTTCCACGGGTCCAAGGCATCAGAACAAAACCTTATAATAAACTACATAAAAATTGGGAATTAATTTAATGCTAATTACTTAACTTTTGTGATCAAAATGAACCTCAGTGATAGTTAAGAAGTTTTGATGAATGACTGGAGAAGGGCATCTACCACTTTCGGCCACCGGTTCAGACTCCTTCAATTGTATATTCCCTCCAAATTTAATCTCCTTTTCTCCACTTCAGCTATGCCTGGCTCTACAAATTCTTCTTCCTCAATTCCCCTTCGCAATTGACCATCACGGCTACTCAGTAATGGGAGGGCTGCATTTGTTTGGAGAGATATGAGAGGGAAGAAAGAGGGTTTGCTTGGTGATAGCATTGGCAGTCCATTCCCACAGTCATTATGAATTGTGAGCAGTGAGCACAAATGCACTTCATTTTAGAGTAACCAAAGGTAGGAAAGAGAAAACGAACAGAGAGAAAAATACACTCACAAAGAAAATACAAATATCTTTCCCGCTGCACCGGTTTATATACAGAGGTCTCTCGTCCAGTTATAACAAAATCGCGCCAAAGTATTATATTTATCATATCAACGAAAAAGGGTCATGCCAAAAGTAATAAAATTGTGGGTGCATGGCAAGAATATCCCACAACCACAGTTTAAGAGCATTGAAGAAATTGTGGAGAGTTTGCTGGAATGAAGAACCCTCATCCGGAAGAAGAACAGGAAGAGGTAAGAAGTCCCAGTTTCTCATCTTTATTTGATGAAAATCGTAATCAAAAGCATAGGAAGAGAAGAAAGAAGAAACAATGTGGTGATTACAATAGTATGAATATGAATAATTACATTAGCTTTTACAGTATTTATGTCGAGGGCATTGACGGAACATACATTCCTCTCCTCATAAGGCCTAACTAAGTGAAGGAGTCAGACGAGCTATTTTGCTGAAGCCTTCTGTACAAACATGTCCACAGTCCATTGTGTAACTAACAGAGTCCACCGGGCTTGGAATAATTCACAAGCAAAAAGGATTAAACTCAATGCATGTTACTGAATTCATGAAGTACCAGTATCATAAAAAGTTTCTGAAGTATAGAAATTCTTAGTAGAACTGGAAATTTTTAATCAGCACCAGAATCTAGATCAAATTCTCCAGCAACGACAGCCATTTGTACTTCCCAGACACAAGAAGCCTCACATAGCTTTTGCTCAAATGACAGAAGATTACATTTCCAGAAAATGAAGAGAAGATTACTACCTGGAAACAGACAAAACAAGTTACAAGGCAGATGCTTTCTCCTTCAAAGATTCTTGGACAGCCTTCAACAAAGTTGGCATTAACTTCTGATTAGTAACAATTATTCCTGTGTCCAGATCCAGAAATCTTCCCTTGGAAAAGTCCAAAGGGTTTCCTGCGGCGTCCGTTACGATGCCTCCAGCTTCTGCAATGTGTGTATTCACAAAACAAAAATTAGCTCAACTCAAAATTTCCACAAAATTTTGCTGAATATTTGTGTTATGCCATACAACCTATACACGAAGAACCTTCAATCTTATTTCCTGATGGAAAGGGTAAATGAAGAATCTTGGGGAAGCAATTAAATTTATAACATTTAAAACATGAAGCTAAAATAAGAGCACCAAAAGGGAACCAAAAATGGGCACAGCAAATTAGCAATGGTCATGCATTGTGTTCTCTAAGAGATTTTCAGGGTCCATTCTTTTATCAGTAAGTGCTACTACAGGTTGACAGATTAACAAGCTTTAACTCATTGAAATCATAAATGCATAAAAAATAATACTAAGGGAAATTACTGAGGCACCTGTAACAACTATACATCCTGCAGCGTGGTCCCATATTTTCTCATGATATCCCTTGTGAGGAAAACGCATGTATATTGCTCCATCTCCTCTGGACAGGGCCCCATACTTTGCCTGGCTGTCTATTCGTACAGGAGGTGCTTTCACTCCTAGTTTCTGCAGGTTATAAACAAGTTTTTGAGCTCTCACAAAACTATAGAAAGAAAAGTAGAACGGAGGGTAGGAGGGTAGGAGGAAGGATCAGATTTTGTACTTTAGCTATCAAGCTAGTTAAATCATGCAAAGAATGAGCTGCCTCAAAAGATTCAAAGAAAGATGCCTCTTCAGGGTTTTCTGTAGCACTAACATGCACCTGAAATGTAAAGTTTTCACATCCAACGTAAAAAGATAAGGAAGGGTTATTCATGCTTTTTATATTAACATTGTAAAAGAGTAGCTCTTAAAAACAAAATAAAACCTGTGTGGGTGGTGAGCCATCAAGAGATTGCATATAGGTTCCAGCACCTTCTTTGGCAAAGAACAAACAACCAACCTTTTGTGGAAAGGTTTGCTGGCCTTGGCCAGAAAGTGGCTGCAAAGGAAGATTGGGACAAGCAAGGACACCTAATACAACCTTCCCTTCATCTAGCAATCCTAAAGCAATGGCATACTGGTCTCCTCTAAGAAACCTTCAGTACAATGTCGTAGGCATGAGAATTGTCTAGAGAGAAGCCCATTTATGCATGTCTTAGACTCTTAGTTTTTTGGGGATAAAGACCAGCAATAAAATTTCACAAATAATCGATAAGTGAACAAGTTGGTTAACCTTATTCTGAAATACGGAAAAAAATCATGTCAACAAAAAATTTAGAAGAGAAAGAAAGCAAAAAAGAAATTTCCCAAACATGGTGATTTTTATACAACCACATGAAATGGGAAAAGAATTTTATGCAGAAACCAACTCCTCAAAGACATTGATCGTTAGAAAAAAGCAATTCACAAACATTACACTCTAATTACCAGATAATGTATTATGAAATTTCGCAATTCAACCAACACAGTCAGGAACTTAGAAGTAAATCGTTACAATTGGCATACAATTTGTAATTGTTCTATTCTTCCTGTCACTTGGATATTTCTCCAGAAGGCAGGCAGTTTAATTTTAGAAATGGAACTATTGCTATGGAATAGTGGAAGCACCATTTGTCCAAAGAGATTTGTGGCTTAGTACAATCTGGAAACAAGAGAGCACCTTCTAGACTACTCTTCAGATTTGTATTGTTTCTCAATTTTTTTGACAACCATTCAACTAGAAGCCTAAAATATAAAAAGTTTACACTTTTTCTGACAACCACTAGACCCCAGGTTTATCAAATATATTGCCATCCTTTTTTCACCACAATGATATGATATTCTCCATCTCTGGAGTAAACATTGAAGTTAGAGTTCTTCTATCGTCCAAGGCTAAAATATAATTTTTTCTATTGTCCAAGACTATAATATCACCTTTTCTATTACGTAAATAAGAGAAAATTTTAAGACCACAGAAAGTCCAGATGTCATTCTCCAAGTCCATTAAAAATTTCTAAAGGCATCTACAGGAGCATATTTTTCCAACATTTCATCAAATATACCTCTTCAGTGTTTTGTGAGATACTAAATAGCATTATCAAGATCAAACTTCAACTGAACAAGCCATTTAGATTCATGAAACCTGAGACAAATCATACAAGAGTGGCGAAAACATCTCAACAATAAACCCCGACCAGATGTCAAGCCTCCAAACATTCTCTCAAGCATTTGGTGTTCAAGTAGTTTGGATGGGGCAAATGCATGAAAAACAGAAAAGACAATTCATGGCTCTTGAGTGTAAATTGCTCATTTAGGTTCAGTCCCGTTATTAGTAGTGCCATATGTTTCAATTAGAGGTGCCTTCAATACAGATAGAATCTACAATTTGATATGCTGCACAGGGCAAGCAAATGCAGTGAAAAACAAAGGATACACAACATCGGACAGCATTCAAAACAACTTAAAGCAGAACCAAAACTGTACACCTATAAGCACATGAAATAGGACAAAACTAAGGCTGTTAGATGATCAAAATTTTTCTCAGTTTACTCGCCTAATTTTGGGCCAGAATTCTCTCTATATCATTATATCTTTTGGGCATTAAATTATCAGACATGTATCATGTAACAACTTAACCAATTAGCTAACCATAACAGACAGTAAGAAACTACATAAACTTAGTTCTGTGAATAGAACACCATTTTTTTCTTTTTGATGCATAGCTATATGACCATTATCAGGTAGTATTTGAAGCTCACCCCTTTGTACCATCAATGGGATCCAAAACCCAGTGCCGACCAACAGAACCTCCTACAGATTTCCCCGAGTCAATTGAGGCAAGGATATCTTCATCAGATAGAGGTGATTTATTATTCATTCCCTCGCTAGCAAGAGTTTCATTGACGAGCTTTGTGATGCGCTGAAGAGTATCTTCACCTCCTCCTTTGCGAAGGTCTGTGGAATCCTAGAAATTTCAACAGTAGAATAGAATTAATGACAATGGGTTCAAAACGAATAAAAGCCATTAAGGGCCTCAAAATGCTATGCAGATACAGTTAGACAAGGAAAAACTTGAATTCAGGTTCCATCCAGCAATTCATTTAAATAGAATTCGAGTAAAAAAAAAAAAAAGTTGAAACTACCTCCTCAGCTACCAATGAGAATGGCCTAGAAGGTAACTCTTTCTCCAAGACATAGCTTACCACAGCTTGTGAACCTAAAAATCATAACGAACAAAAAACTCAGAGCCTTTCCTCTTCGTCCATTTATCAAAAAGGAACCCCATCAAAGTGGTAATTTAGAGAAGTAATGCACAGCACCAGCGATACAAAATAAGAGTAATTAGATAAACGGCCAGAGGCAAGTACACATGCTCGCATATAAAAGATCCAAGAAAGACAGAGGGATAAAGCAGGATTCTGCTGAAAAGAAAAAAGAATTTTGGCAACTAGGGAATTCCAATCAATGTAACACAGCAAGAATGAACCTTAGAAGAGTCAACCAAATTTAAAGCAGAATAGAAAACATTTCTCTAGGAAAAACCCTAGGCTGGACCTATTGAGCTCATCTTATGAATCAAAGCGTTGTGTAAACAAGTAGCACACGCCAAGAAGATGGTAGATAGCTCCTCAGACACAGCAAAAGTCCAGATCCTGGGCTGGATTTAGCACCAATATATATATATATATATATGCTGAAAAACTCTATTTTGTTTCTGCAAGGATAGAATATGCAGCATGATAGGGTGCAACAACTCAATGAGAACTCAGAGAACTGCAAGAAGATTATTTTAGTCAAGCAATCAAGGGCCTGACATGAATTTCTGTTGCTAAGTAACTGTAGCACATAGTAGAGTTAATGTCAAAGATTCTTTAGTTAACCTATATTATGCTTCACGAGCTGTTGCTCCAATAAATGGATAACCAAAAATATATTACCAGAAACTTAAAGAATTTATACATAAAGGTGTACTGATATCTCTATTCTAATACTTTATGCGAAAAAGTACACCAATCAACAAACTATAATCTGTTAAAATGACACAACACAAAACAGGTACATACCATAGTCAGCTACCGTAACAGGACTTTTATCAGATTTTGATTGGACATCTGATTGCAACAGCGCCTTTTGCACTTTCTGCATGGTTATGTAATGAGAGCTCTATGAGTTTCAGAGAAAAGAAGAACTATCACGTAGAACGTGTTAAGTCAGAAATAAAGAAGTTGACAAAGCTGCAAATGCGTGATACTTCTATCTAACAAAATTGAATGAAGTTGAAAAAGAGACGCTGATAAGATTATATTGTTTTCAATTAAATACATCTAAACTGATGATGGAACCACATAGATTAGATAAAGCATTGTAACTCACCGTCAAAATGAAATGCATCAATTCAAGCATGAGAAATTCGAAAGGAGAGAAGATACAGGAACCATCTACTATCAAATTCTAATTTCTATTCTCCTCAAGCCATTGAAAAGAAACTATCAAAATTGCAAGCAAAATTACATATATTGCACATAAGTAGATAGAACAGTTTGCCCACCATCAGGTAACTTCGCAATGAGATTAGAGAAGGTGACCAAGAAAAAGAGAATACTCAAAAACAATGAAAATCTTAGACATCTATAACTGTTTTCACCATAACACTGGGTAGATTTTTTATCATGCAAGCCAAGAAAGATAGACAATTCAACAACCACAGCCAGCTCTTCCAGCACATGTAGAGTGCACTTATCCCCTGTTCACTTCTGAAGCTTTGTTTCCGGAAACAGTATTTGGCTCAAGACTGGCCCTTTCTTAGTTTCAAAAGTCGAGCAGAAGACTGATAAAACAGGAAACTGGAGACACTAATGCAGGGAATCTTGTACGTAGCTACCAAAGATTGGGATTGACAGTGGATGAAGGGTTTAAACAAACATTTCAGCCAATAAATTGAGCTCATCTAATATATTTAACCATTAAAAGTACCTAAATCTGTTGGGAGTCTATATTTTATCTAACTATGATTTCCAACCAAGGAGATTCTAGGACATATCCACAGCTCAAAATCTGTTAGAAAAGAAGCTTCTATTTCAAATTTTTTGAATAATTTTCTGGAAGATTAAGTAATTCTCCATCACTAAGCATATCTTTAAATTGAACAATAATGTTGAGATGGAAAATCTAAATATTTGAAGACTTAATAGTGAAAACAGCTTATTCTAGCAACCTGATTTTGAGCCAAAACAATCGCGACAATTTACTTAACAAAACACTATACTTATCGAGAAACCATTCAAGCCATCGTATACTTGTCTAACTACGAATTCCATTTTAGTTTGTAGGAAGACACACACATGCCCAGAGAAATAATTGAAGTCAAGTTAAATGCATGCCAGGATTCTCCATTGTGTGCAAGTTTGACGCAGCAATACTGTGCATCTCACCCAACAGAGAGCAGCCTTTGAGCTTTATCCATTACCAACACATTCAAATTGTATTTCATAGCATTCAAAAAACTTTGAAGACATAATGACACAATCTAGTCTAGTTTAAGGTTGCACAGAGAATCGTATTCCTATAATCTAATCAACATCAGTGCCCACGATAAGACAACATTTTGCTGCCTTCACCAAAAATTTAAAGGGCACATGGCTTGCAATAAGGAACTAAATTAATAAATAGTTTCTGGCATGTGCCTTAGATTATATCATGAAAGCCATTTTGCCTGATCCATGATGTTAAAAACAAAAATGTATTTTTGACAACGCGTGTCAACTGCGAACGGCAAACAACAATGTTCCTCTTTTTGATGATGTAAACGCCAGTGTAACTGAGGTTGAAGAGCAGCCTAATGAGGAACTATACCTCTGTTTGCGAACTTTGGTACTAAAAAAGGGATAGTATCAAGTCACCACATATTAAAGAAAGGCAAACAAATTACATAAATCTAACAAAGATGAACTTCTGAAAAACTTATTTCAGCACATCATTAATCTTGCTATACCATTGAGCAATAAAAAAACTTCCGAAAGTAATTAATTTGAAAAATTGAAGATTTCCCGAGATTCGGTAGAATGGGAAACAATGTAAAACATAATATCATCAGCCCTAAGAAACGTATAACACAGCCAACCATGAGTCCGCAACATCTGGGCATAAACTAGAAGAAAAATTCGTATATTCAAAAGATTTAACTGTCGATACAGACACATAGTGGAAAGTAGAATAAGCAAAGTGGCAAAAATCAAAATTCGCCTCATGAGGGGTGCAATAAAGCCCAATATTGGCAACTGGGTTCTCACTAATTCGTTTAATTACAGCAAAAACATAATAAGATGGAAACTTCAGATGGCAAACCAACGAAAGATTAAGGGGCCGATAAAGCTACCTGACAGAGGCGGGCAGCGAGGGAGCAAGCTTTCTTGGCAGCAGCAAGTTCTTCATCGTACGACATTGTTGAAGCAGCAGCTCTAACTGAAGCTCTTGCTGTTGTAATTGTAAGGAAAATTGGAGATTTGGGTCTTAATTTCCGTAAATTTGATGAACTGTAGATGTCAAAACGCAGGATTCTGGACAATGGAGCTGGTGTTAGTAATATATTAGTAGCCATCTCACCCTAGCCCCAAAATGCAATTTTTGAATTACATAAGAAAAGGATTTTCCTTTTTTCTTTTTGTTACACGAAGGATACATTTAAAAAAAAAAAATCATTTAGATATATTCCCTCATGGCGGATCCCTTTCATCCACTCTTCCTATTTTGGTGCATATAAAACATTATTTACACTCTTTGAAAAATATAAAAAACAACGCCCAATTCATTTTCCCCATTTATTCACACCTTCTTTTAGCGTGCTCGAAATATGTTGAAGTATTTATACAAAGAAAACTTTAGCAGGAAGTCAACAGCATCAACCGAGTCATCAAGTGACTCTTTAACTGCCAAATCATACAAAATATATGATATCACCGTGACACAACCAATGTCACTCACACAGACAAAAGAAATGGTTGTGATCAAGTGCCCGTCACCTTAGGGCTGTGCAATAAAACCGCGGGTTCGGGTTGCACTCCAGATCCGATCCGATCCGAACCGCGGTTTTCGGTGCGGTTCGGGACGGTTATATTATTCTATGGTACGGATCGGTTTCGGATCAGACAGATTTTTTTCTATGATTAAAAACAAAAAAAATTTCGATTTTGGATCGGTACCAAAAGAAGCTCTTCTTTCTCAGAAAGCCTTGTGAGCTTCGGTTTTGGAATCCCACGACAAAATCCCTTCAATCTTTTCATAAAGAAATCAAAAATCAAATCCACCTGCATTCTGGGATTCGTAACCAAACATTAATTTCTCCGAAACTCGATTGATTTCTTCAGCTTTCAGTCTAAAACCTGTAAACCTTTCCGTCGAAACCTCTTCCGCCTCAACTCCCCTCCATCAACGCTGAGACAGAATTGCGCACTCCTCAACGGCCCTCCATCGCCGCCTCAACCCACATCGTTTCGTCATCATCCGTCGCCGTCCACAGCTGCTTTTGAGGTAAACATCCTACTTTGCTGTTATTTTTTGTTTTTGAGGGGTTTGGGATATAGGTTCTTCCGCTTTGGTATGTTCTTGTATTTATGGTAAACATCCTAATTTGCTTACAAATTTGCTTATGACGTTTTGCATTTGGGTTTCGAGAGGGGAATTTTTTATTTTTTTTTTTTGAAAATGGGGAATTTTTTTAATTGAATGAGATGGGTTTTTGGTAATCATTTTTCTGTTTGGTAAGCTTTTTGCAGAGTTTTTGGGTTGGCTTTTCTCTTTTCTTTTTTTTTTCTGGTCCCCTTATTAGGTGATTAGAGTTTCAATTTGAATTTGTTAGTGGGGGGTTAGATTGCTTACTTTTGTTGGGATGGTATATGTTGCAGACTAGTATATGGTATTTGAGAATGAATTGAGGTCCTGATGATTTCCTTGGTCGGAGTATACGAGCAGGCATTATTTGATGTTTCTTTTATTGATTTTGATTAATATATATAGGCTTTAATTCCATAACTTGAGGAGGTTATTCGGGTACCCTTCTGACATTTGAGGCTAATAAAGATACTATTTTGTTTCAATTTAGTTAAGTCGTGAAAATTTAGAGATGTGAGTTGGATTTGGATTTGGATATGAAGTTTCTACAATTGCACTCTAAGAACTGTTGTCCTGCTAAATTTTGCATATAGATTCATTTCTTTGGGTGGCAGGAAATGGTTTATTTAGTTCAATGTTCTTCCCAATAGTGTATATACTTCAGTAACGTTTTCTGCAAGTTTGATCATGTTGTGCCTCTGGTGCTATTTTATGTCGTGCCTTTGATATCCATTGTTTTGACTTCTGATGTGTTTTGACTTTGTTTATGAAGGTTGTAAGTAGTAACTGGAGCAGAGGGGTGACATCAGCTTTTGCTGTCAGAGAATCAGAGAAGTCTCATTCGGCTTACATGATGTTTGTGCAAACTTGACCATTTGTTTCATTTGAGGTAACTTGTTAAATCTTTCGAGTAAATTCCTGTTATCGATTTAGTTTCAGTTCGTTAGATGTTTGATTTGCTACCAGCGGAAGTATTTTTCTTTCAAATCCTCTAAAATGAATATGTTCTTTGATACCTGCTGCTTTGAGCCTGTTTAAGCATGCTTATAAAATCTGTTAAGCTGATTTTTTTTTAATGATTATATTCTCTGTTTGATGAAGTTCACATCAGTCTTTACGGCATTTGAAATGGATTAATATTTAGTGCAAATCATTCTTAAAAGATGACCATGATTCTGCAAATTCCAAAATTAAGATTTGAGCTACTGTTTTGATAAACTTAATTCTCATGTCTCTTAGTCCTTTAAAATCATGGTTCTATTGTAAAACTCTTTCTTGTGTGCCTATTTTTATACTGAGTTAGTTGGTGCATCAAAAAGCTTTGTAGTTCTTTTGAAATTCTGCTTAAACAGCGCTTGTGTACTCCGTGACATTGAAATTGCAGAATTCCAGTTTTGCTGAAATCTAGAAATCAGATTTTGAGTTTCTATTTAGGAGTTAGTTACTTTTATATTTTGTATGGTTATTTTTCTCCCTCTTTGTTGTTTATTTTCGGTCTTTTGCATCCCTTATTCAACCTTGTTTTCAACTGGAAATCCATTTCAGAACTTGTATGTTGGATTTTCTACAGAATTGAATTTTCAGAACTGTTTTTGTCGATGGCGGAGGCTGATAGTGATGATGATGTTACTTGCTTGGAGGATGAAATTCCATCTAAGGGGGGTGACACTCAAGGGGGTGAAACTCAAGCTTCTGCTGCACCTTCGAGTAGTACACAAGGTAAGAAGCGTAAAAGAGAAGTTGGGGAAGCTGGTACTTCAGGAAAACATTCTTGGGTTTGGCCACACAATGAAATGGAAGTCAAATTTCCTCCGGAAGCTCAGAGAGCCAAGTGTTTGTATTGTGGAACAAGTTTGTCTTGTGCAACTAAAAATGGCACTTCTTGTTTGATTAATCATCTCAGTAGATGTCAAAAGTATCCTTTCAACATTGAGGCAAAGAGGAAGCAATTGGAGTTGGGGGCCAAGTTAGGGAAAGGACCAAAAAGAACAAGGGTTTCGCCACCATCTACACCTGGGTATAGCTATGAGCGGTGTAAGTATTCTTTGGCTTTGATGATTTTGATGAGTTACCATTTAGCTTTGTGGAAAATGAAGGATTCATTGCCTATAGTAGAGAGTTGCAGCCTTTGTTTAAGGTACCTAAACGCAAAGCTATTACAAGTGAGTGCTATAAGATATTTTTAAATGAAAGGAAATTGTTGAAAGCTTTTTTTGAGAAATTACCTTCTGCTGTTTGTCTTACCACTGACACTTGGACTTCAATTCAAAATTTGAATTATATGTGTGTTACAGCTCATTTTATTGATGAGAATTGGGTACTTAACAAAAAGATCATCAATTTTTGTACAATTGCCAATCACACTGGTGCTTTAATTGCTTATACTTTGGAGAGGTGTTTATTGGAGTGGGGCATTAAGAAAGTTCTTGTTGTAACTGTAGATAATGCAAGCTCTATTGATAATGGTATATCTACATTGAAAAAGCAATTGAATAGTTGGAATGGAGCATTGATGAATGGTGACTTCTTGCACATGAGATGTGTTGCTCATATCTTGAGTTTGGTTGTGAAAAAAGGATTGAAAGCATACAATGCACATATTGCTAGAATCAGGGCTGCTGTTAGATATGTGAGGTCTTCACCTAGTAGGTCTCAGAAGTTTAGATCTTGTGTTAAGTTGGCCAAGATAGAAAGTAAGAGTTTGCTCTGTTTAGATGTAGAGACTAGGTGGAATTCCACTTATCTAATGTTGGTTGCTGCACTAAAATTTCGAAGAGCTTTTGATTTGATGGAGTCTGATAAGAATTATGTAGCTGAGATAACTAAAGAAAAGCTGCCATTGGCCTCAGATTGGGATTTTGTTTCTAAGCTGCTTCCTTTCTTAAAAGTCTTCAACGATACAACCACTGCATTGTCTGGGTCTTTCTATGTTACTGGAAATGAGTATTTGCGTCAGATTGCTGGTGTTGGGGCATTCATTACTCGGATGCGTTACAATTCTGATCATGGGATACAAGAGATAGCTGTGGGAATGAAGATGAAGTATGACAAGTATTGGTCAAACACTGGTAATATGAATTTGCTTATTTTTGTTGCTTGTGTTCTTGATCCTAGATTCAAGTTGAAGGATGTTACTAAAATTTTTGAGAATGCTTATGGTGAGAGTATTGCTAAAGATTTGTCTCAGAAGGTAGAAAAGACATTGGAGGCGATGTTTGTGTCTTATAGTTCATCACTTGTATCACGACATAAATACACTTCAAGTCAGCCTTTGGATTTGAATTTGAATGATATGATAGAAGGGGATGCTACTGTAGATGCTGCTTCATTCTTGAATTCTTATTTTGTTGAAAATGAGGAAGATGAAAATGTTGTGGACAAGACAGAGCTACCAAGGTACTTGTTTGAGGAAGATGAAAACAAATGCAGCAAGGTTTCCAACACTTTCTTTGATTGCTAGAGATGTGTTGGCTGTGCCAGTCTCTACTGTGGCTTCAGAGTCAGCATTTAGTGCTGGAAGCCGTGTTCTTGATGTGTATCGGAGTTCATTATCTCCGAGAATGGTCGAGGCTATTGTTTGTGGTCGTGATTGGTTGTGGAAAGAACACAAGATGGTCAATTTTGAGAAGGAGTTAGAGGAGATAGAGGCAATGGACGTCATTGAATCAAGTACTATTCTTCAATATCTTTTATTTCTGAAGGTGTTTTCTTTCAAAGAAGAGTCCGTTTAAGGTTATTAATTTTAACTTCTTTTTTTTTTGGTTCAGATATTTTAGCTATGCCTGGAGCAGATGACGCGCATCCTCTCATTGTCGTTTATAATAATTGTGGACAAGTTTGATGAAGTTGGTAATATATTATGTATTGAAACTTTATTTTCTTTAATGAACTGTTTTAATTTTGTTGGACATTTTTCCTTTTCATTTTTGGTTTAACAATGGACACTTTTTTTTGTTTGAATTGTACTGTAATAGTTTAAAAATTCTAGTGGAAAAAAATCGGTTCTAAATCAGTTCTGAATTTAGTTCAAAATTATACGTATAAGATTACAGATTGAAAATCGATGGTAACACAATATATTTAAATTTCTGGAACAAGAGCAACCAAAAAAAAAAAAAAATCTAAAATCCGAACCAAGAGCAACCAAAAAAAAATAAAATCTAAAATTCGAACCGAACCGGTTCAAATTGGTTCGATCCGGTTCGGCTCGGTTCGAAAAAAATGAATGCCCGGATCGGTTCGGGTCGGACCGGTTTCGGTTCGGTTTTCCCCAAAGCACAGGCCTAGTCACCTATACGCTTTCTCCTTAACTGTCAAATGCAAGTTGTTTCTGAAATGGCAGATTCGGTTAGAAAAAGAAAGGATTGGGAACCTCTTTGAGCTTTCTTGAAGATCGGTTAAGTCCTTATATTACAAATAATCTTTGATTTGTTGTTGTAAATATTCTAGATTAGATACTGAAATTGTAATTAGCAAATCTTAGATTTGAAGTAGTATAAATACAGCTCGAGGGATTCATTTTGTAACAACAAGAAATCAGAAGATATTTTTACAGAAAGTTTTTCGAATGGCTTTTTCCTTCTCCTTCAAGCTTTCTTCTTCTGTACTTTTCCTTCCTATCTTTACCATTTCTGATTCCATTTGATAGTATCAAAGCTGGTTCTGCTTGTCTGATCATCTGCAAAGTCTACCACAGTACTCTGATTTCACTTCGTTTTCAGTCTTTCACTCATTCTTTCTATATTTGGAATCTGTTCTTGCTTTCCTTATTTTGTTGATTCTCAATATTCTTGTTTTCTCCGATCAATTTTCCTCTGATTCTCGGTTTAATTCTTCAATGGCTCGTGAAGTTCTGGCAGTTACTGAGAATAAGCAATTGTCACTTCATGGATCTAATTCTCCTGGGATGATGCTTGTCACCGCACCATTGATAGAGAAGAATTATCTAATATGGAGGACTTCAATGCTTATTGCTCTTGAGGCTAAGGTTAAAGTCGGTTTCATAGATGGAAGATGTGTTATGCCAGATCAATCATCACATGATTATCACAAGTGGAGGCGTGTTAACAGTATGGTGGTATCTTGGATGAAGAACTCTATCTCGCCAGAGCTGGTCAATAGTTTCACCTTCATCATAGACGCAAAATGACTGTGGGAGGAGTTCTTTTGAAAGGTGTGATTCTTCTAATTCAACACTATTATATCAGTTGAATAGATAAATAGTTTTAGTAAAGCAGAGAAATCTATCAATTGTGCAGTACTACAGTCGTGTTAGACAGCTGTGGGATCAATTGGAATAATTGAGACCTATTCTAGCATGTTCTAAAACTGTGAGACAGATACTGCTGGATCGTGATACAGAGGGTAAAGTAATGCAGTTTCTGATGGGTGTTTGGTGAGTCGTTTGGTGTTGAACTACTTTCCCAAAAGAAATATTTATAAACCTACTTAAAACTAATAATTAGTGGTAATGATATGAATCTTTATCCGAGGCGCGATTATTGTGGAAGTTTGACTTGAAATGTTGCCCGGATATTTGAATATTTGTATAACCATGAAGTAGTACCTATGCAAGCACACAACAAACGAAAAGGAAAAGCTGGACCCTCAAAAATCCTAGCCAAAAAATGAGATCGAAAGGAAGGAAAGATGGAGAAGGTGTTTAAGATTTGAAAACCTAGTCAAAACGACCAGAAGCTCCCCACACGTTATAGATCAACGTTGAAAAGCTTGGTGTGCTCAACTAAAATGTCAAATAAAGCATCCACATACCAAGAACACTTGAAAACTTGGTCAAGGTTAGCTATGCTTCAAGAACAAACCCTAATTCGTTGGAAAAGCAAGTTATTCTCGCAGGAATAAGAAAACAAG